TTAATCTGTAGCTCTGCTCTAAAAGAACGTACGTACCTGGCCCGCCTACTATCCTCGGAAACGTAAAATGATTGGCTAGAAGTGTATCACAGCTCAGGAAAAAAAGCACCGAAATGTGCGCTGCTTTTCGGTCTGGTTACTACCGTTTATGTCAGAACCGGTGCCATCATGGCACTGGATAGCGGTACCCATCCCTACCCGTGACCTGAGGAATCGTCTGAAAAGCACTTCAGTATGGCCCACTAGCTGCCTGCTGGGTTCTCCACATGTGATGGCTCAGAATTCCTGGCTATCAGATGGGAGACTGTTTTGAGGGTCTTGGGCCACTCTCTGTCAATGTTTTGAACCCATTGAGATGGGGTTGGCAGCTTTTGCAAGCAATGCCTAACTGTTGCTATGGGGTTTGGTAGGTGGAAAGCCTGCAATTTGGTGGTGCAACAGTTACAGACTTGATTAATTGTTTTGGTTATCGTATCAGGTAGAACTATTTGACAAACCACAGGTTTCTATTTATAGGAGGGGGTGTTACGGCCCCAGCAGGGCCTCCTCCTGAAGTTGCCCGTGTGGACCTGTCTTACCAGCTCTCCTGCCTTAGGTGCCACCTTTTTTCCTTTGTACAGCTGACTCACATCAGCAATTAAAGGTATTTAAGCCCAGAGAAAGGTGAGCTCGGGTGCCACAGTGCCATGTGATTGGTTGCAGCTAGAGAGCTGCGTGTTCGGTGACTGTTTACTCCTGCCCGTGTTGGGTGACTAAACTCTTTTTGACTTTTCAGTTTATTGACCAACGCTTGAGTCTTGTTTGTTTCCTTACATGGTGATAGCGACTTGTAGGTCTCTTTTAGTTGAGCTATTAATAGAAACCTTAATAAAACTCTTTAATTTAACCATTTTGCCTCCTTGTCTCCTTTTTCCAACCCAGACACTTTTTGTTACTTTCACTCATCGCCTTGACCCTTTTAGGGGAACGTAACACAATATTTCCAGAGACACAGAATATAGGCATAACACCAACTGAACTGAACGACAGTGAGACGAGGGAACTGAAGCAAGTGCGCAGAAGCAACATAGAATGGAGCAAAACAGAACAGAGGACAAGGCTTTAGGATGGATACACATGGATACAGGAGTATGATGGAATTGAATCAGATACATGAAGAATAATCTGCTGTTTATCGACATTACATTTGCAAATGAGATGAAGTGGAAACACCTTGCAAAGCACCAACGTTACTCATTTAAGAGCTTTTGAAATTTGACAATGGAACAGCACAAACAAAGCAAACTTTGTGAGCTATAATGACTAAAAGTCCCCTTTATGTTGCATCTTGAGTAGAAAAGGACATAAAATTCAAGATACTGAGCAGTGAGGACACATTTTATTCCAAGAACAACCCTTATCTAATGCAACTCAAGAGGAAAAATGGCATTATTAAATAATCCTTAGAAAATGTGGAGTGTCATGTATGAGATCGAGAGAATGCCTATGAGATGTATTAAATATTTTAGGTTTGCGTGAAAATAGCCTGCATTATCAAGCAGAGAGTGACTGAAGAGAGAATCAGCCAACAGGTGAAGAACAGAGGGGACATTTATGTAGCAGAGACCCTCAAAGTCCCTGTGGGCTCAGTTTGAACACCACTGCTCATCAACTGCTAATAGAAGATGAATGCCTGTGTTATGGAAAAATTCTTAGATAAAGTGTGCATAAAGTGTGCATGTGTCAGTAAGACCTCGTCAAAACGGCTCAGCTTGGTGTAACGATGTTTCACTGTGTTATCTGATAACTGTTTCGCTCAGAAGAAGGAAGCCCAGTGCCAGGTGCTTCCTGGGAAAAGATAGTGGGAGTTGTTCTCTGTCCAGCCACAGCCCGTGGGACAGAAACCTGTTGTAACTCAAAGATACAGAGTTGTGTGTGGGGTATAAAAGAGGAGCTGAGACGTCCCAAGGGCAGAGCTGCCATGACTGTGAACTGTAATGTTTGATGTGTGTGTTGGCTCTCCTGCGGCAGTAAGAAATAGCTTGACCACAGCTTTTTTCCGTTTTGCAGACTTTATTTACAAAATTAAACAACACCTGTAACATTTAAACAAAGAGATGGAAAAATGGGGAGAACCTTCCCTTGGAAATGTGCTTTTTTCCAAACAACAACTTCACTTAGAAGCTAGACAGGTACAAGCTGCTGATCAGAATCAGTATCAAAAATATATTTTAACCATTCAGTCATTTCTTCAGCTGTCAGTAACGATGATTTTACTGAGTTTGCTGTGTCCCATACAGTTGTGTTTGCAGTACCATCCCACTGACAGTCCGACAAGGACCAGAGCTCCCAGTATTGTCCCAGATATTATATATGGGGTGGAGTTGACTGTAGAATTGTGTTGAGGTGGGGTCGGGGGTTGGGTAAAGAAAGGAAAGGAGAATCATTTATACCAGGCAAATTAAAAACACCAAAACACTCACAATGAACTTAATTTGTGAAATAATATTGTGATTGATCTTCAGTGACACATTTTCCAGGAAGTATCTGACAACACTCACCTTGCACATCAATGTTAAACTCCTTGGTGACAGTCCCTACTGTGTTTCTCACAGTGCAGATATACTGTCCTTCATGCTCAAAGCCAACAGATTTAATAGTGAGAACGCTGCCACTGTAGGGGTTTCCCACAGAGGAGCAGTTCAGGGGTAGAGTGTCTCCTTCTGTGATTGTGATCACATCTGGATTTGGTGGCTCCTTTAGCTCAGGCCCATCTGTGTGATTATTGATAGAGGAAAAAAACACAAAGCAAAATTTCAGCAAAATAGAAATAATTTATAAATTAAAACACATTTCTGGTGTAATATACAACACAAGGTACTGTCGACAGTTCAGCCCACTGTACTTTAATTTCACTCGGTGGTGCTATACTCTGTTGTCAGTTTGTCCACTTCATGATGTTTAACTGCTCTGCTTACTTTACAGGTTAATTCTCTTAATACTCTGTATTGATTCCACATTTAAACAAATAGTAAAGCTGAACTTTTATCATTTAGGATCTAAACACAATTACTATTATTATTTTTTTTACTTCTATTCTGGCTTTCCACAAACTTCTGAGGGAAACATTTTACTGGTAAACAGCTAAATCCTCCACTATGTTCATCAGCTTGTGTCAGTCAGCAGTTTGTTGATGATGCTTTTTAGAGCCTGTTCATTAACAGTGATGAGCACCATGAGGAAGAATCCAAACAGTATTTCTTTACTGTTTTGATTCTTCCTCAAAGCGCTCATGAGGACAGAAAACCAAACCAGTGACATGAATCATGCTCAAAATGTCAAACTCTGAGAAACAGATCAAAGAGCGTCTTTATTTCTCTCAGACTCACAGTGAACTAGAGCAGGGAGTTTTTCTGATGTCACCACTGGAGGGCGCTGTGGACCAGCTGGTCCCAGCTCCAGCTTGGCTTCGCACCAGTACTGAGCTCCATCATCTTCTCTACTGGGAGTGATGTTCAGGGTGAAGGTCTCATTCACTGGTTTCTTCTGTTCACTGTTGGACCGTAGGTGACCCAGTGCTGTGTTTCCTCTGTAGAAGGTCACCTTGAGGCTTTGAACAGGAGCTACGTTCTGTACGCTACACTGCAGGGTGTACTGCTGATTCTCAAACATCATCTCAGTGTGGTTTACAAAGCTGATGGAGACACTTCCTGGAGGCGCTGAGAAGACAGGGAAAGAGAGTAACACAGGTAGATGTCAGTCAGTAACCGCCGAGAGCATGAATCCATCTAACTGTGTATTAATA